GTCAGGCTGTTACACATTTCAGAGTATGTCACCTGACTGTAAGGTTAAGGGTACCTTTCTAATCCTTCTATATCCAACATATTTCCAAATTAGGTTCAAAGAATCTGTCTGCTATGGCCGAGACCAACACTAGTGGTCAGGGCTAACCATTAAACCACACAATTCCTGGTTCCCCTGCCCTTACAAGGTTCTTTCAATCCCGATACCTACATCCACCTTTCTTCCGGTCCTTTTACTGATCCCTCCCAAACTTCCAATCTAGTTAGCCCGGATAGGTTGGTATACTCTTGCTATCATCATATTACAGATATCCAATTTTCTGAAATATGATTACAAAAAAATTATTCAAACAAAATGAAAGTTGCCACAGAATATAGCTTGTGTCTCAAAAAAAATATTTTAGACTTGTTATATCGTGATCAGCATCAACAATGTCTCCAAGATCTCTACCATGCAATAGCAAAAAAAACAAAAAAACTAATAGAGTATATATTTACTCTTTTTAATAATGAAGGGATTGGTACATTTTTAAAAATATAGAAATCAATTGAATTGCCAAGGTCTTGGTCAAAATTATCTAATCCTATTATTCATCAAAAAGCTTTATAATGTCAGATTCATTTCATCTTACAATGTTAATGCCTCATATTTTAAATCGCTTCGTAACAACTCAACACATCAAAGAGGATGCTCTTACTAACCTTTGGAAAACAACAAAATATAAATGTCGTGATCAGGTGATCGACTTAATGATAAAGTGTTAGATGTATCTTTCTTTTTCTATAAAGGAGTTATTTGCTACTTTATTTTTTGAAAATGATAATTTTAAAATACTAAACAAGTTATTGAAAAAAGAACATTATTATTTGACTAAGGTATTTAGAATGTGATTATTTGATTAAGGTCTTATAAGGCAAGGTCAGATATTATGACATACTAAGAGTGCTAATAGTAAAAGTTTCAAGAAATAATATTATTTTTAATATTTATTGAACTAAACCAATATATGGCTTAATCTCTATTGATAATTCAAAAAAACTCTAAATTTAAAAAACTCTTGAAATTCAAAACTTCAAAAAGCTATCTAAAACTTATGCTTTTTTTTGTTAGGTATTTTTACGTATTATGTATACCTAATACGTATTTATATTGTGGTATCCTTTTTTTATATTTTGCTTTGCTGATCTCTTACCCAAAATAGAAAATATAGTATAATAACTATATTATAATATCTCACATTCTTAAAGTATTGGTAAGAATTGATTAATTTTTGTATCTTCTGATTCATCTTAGTAAAATAATCAATTGTACTAAAATTATTTGATTCTGATTAGTGTATTACAAGATAGCATCAAAAAATTACTCTCATGCATCATAATACCAGACCACTAGACCTTACTTTATATCTTTATTGACTTTTATAATTATTTTTAGATGTTTTCAGAATTCTTTCTTCACCTTCCAAATCTTCATATTAATATACATTTAATTGTGAATGCCAAGAACTATGAAACTTTGGTTAATACTGCTTGTGGTGTTAAGGAGTCTATGCATTGTTTATTTAAAACATTTGTTCTATACACTAACAAAAAAATATCGATCTTGATCTTTTAAAATATTACAATACTCTTCAAGCTTAAGTTTTTGGCTTGACAGCAGACAAGATGAATCTGTTTCAGACTTAAATTATTATGCAAATTCCTCTTTGCTGAAACTATTGCTTTCTGGATGGTATATCACAAGGTCACTTGATTTAATCGACGATTTAGAATCTGGTAAAATAAATAGTAAGTTCAATTTGTCTAATTACTAAATCAATAATTTATTATAAGTTTAGGCAAGACCAACTTGATTCTGTGTTTTACATTACCCTTTGGGAATAAGGACAGGTTTTATTATATTATATATATATATTTAGATTTTTTTTTGTTAAAATTTTCTAAATCATGATTTTTCTTTTTGGAATTTTTGGCCTTTTTTTGTTAAATTCTGCTCAACCTTGTGTCTAGATTCATTTATTGTCTTTGTCAAAATTTTAACCACTAAAACCACTTTTCCGGATTTTTTTGTTTTGTCAAGTTTTTGAGTATGGATTTCTGTAAAATGACAATCATTGCAAGAAATTTTATCTTTGTAAAGAATTAATATAAAATAAAAACTAATTAATATTTAATATAATAAGCTTAACCCCAAAATCAATTTATATAAATTTTCCAAATATGATAAGGCAGCCAAGTTGATTATGTATTTTATATTACCTCTCTTTCTCTCTAATAAACAAAATTTAAGCATATGTACATATAAATTTTTATAATCATTAATATTTTTAAAAAATTTTCTAGTAAAATTAAAATCTGGTAAATATCTTGAACTTTTTACTGTAGACAATAAATGAATCTAGACACAAGGTTGAGCAGAATTTAACAAAAAAAGGCCAAAAATTCCAAAAAGAAAAATCATGATTTAGAAAATTTTAACAAAAAAAAATCTAAATATATATATATAATATAATAAAACCTGTCCTTATTCCCAAAGGGTAATGTAAAACACAGAATCAAGTTGGTCTTGCCTAAACTTATAATAAATTATTGATTTAGTAATTAGACAAATTGAACTTACTATTTATTTTACCAGATTCTAAATCGTCGATTAAATCAAGTGACCTTGTGATATACCATCCAGAAAGCAATAGTTTCAGCAAAGAGGAATTTGCATAATAATTTAAGTCTGAAACAGATTCATCTTGTCTGCTGTCAAGCCAAAAACTTAAGCTTGAAGAGTATTGTAATATTTTAAAAGATCAAGATCGATATTTTTTTGTTAGTGTATAGAACAAATGTTTTAAATAAACAATGCATAGACTCCTTAACACCACAAGCAGTATTAACCAAAGTTTCATAGTTCTTGGCATTCACAATTAAATGTATATTAATATGAAGATTTGGAAGGTGAAGAAAGAATTCTGAAAACATCTAAAAATAATTATAAAAGTCAATAAAGATATAAAGTAAGGTCTAGTGGTCTGGTATTATGATGCATGAGAGTAATTTTTTGATGCTATCTTGTAATACACTAATCAGAATCAAATAATTTTAGTACAATTGATTATTTTACTAAGATGAATCAGAAGATACAAAAATTAATCAATTCTTACCAATACTTTAAGAATGTGAGATATTATAATATAGTTATTATACTATATTTTCTATTTTGGGTAAGAGATCAGCAAAGCAAAATATAAAAAAAGGATACCACAATATAAATACGTATTAGGTATACATAATACGTAAAAATACCTAACAAAAAAAAGCATAAGTTTTAGATAGCTTTTTGAAGTTTTGAATTTCAAGAGTTTTTTAAATTTAGAGTTTTTTTGAATTATCAATAGAGATTAAGCCATATATTGGTTTAGTTCAATAAATATTAAAAATAATATTATTTCTTGAAACTTTTACTATTAGCACTCTTAGTATGTCATAATATCTGACCTTGCCTTATAAGACCTTAATCAAATAATCACATTCTAAATACCTTAGTCAAATAATAATGTTCTTTTTTCAATAACTTGTTTAGTATTTTAAAATTATCATTTTCAAAAAATAAAGTAGCAAATAACTCCTTTATAGAAAAAGAAAGATACATCTAACACTTTATCATTAAGTCGATCACCTGATCACGACATTTATATTTTGTTGTTTTCCAAAGGTTAGTAAGAGCATCCTCTTTGATGTGTTGAGTTGTTACGAAGCGATTTAAAATATGAGGCATTAACATTGTAAGATGAAATGAATCTGACATTATAAAGCTTTTTGATGAATAATAGGATTAGATAATTTTGACCAAGACCTTGGCAATTCAATTGATTTCTATATTTTTAAAAATGTACCAATCCCTTCATTATTAAAAAGAGTAAATATATACTCTATTAGTTTTTTTGTTTTTTTTGCTATTGCATGGTAGAGATCTTGGAGACATTGTTGATGCTGATCACGATATAACAAGTCTAAAATATTTTTTTTGAGACACAAGCTATATTCTGTGGCAACTTTCATTTTGTTTGAATAATTTTTTTGTAATCATATTTCAGAAAATTGGATATCTGTAATATGATGATAGCAAGAGTATACCAACCTATCCGGGCTAACTAGATTGGAAGTTTGGGAGGGATCAGTAAAAGGACCGGAAGAAAGGTGGATGTAGGTATCGGGATTGAAAGAACCTTGTAAGGGCAGGGGAACCAGGAATTGTGTGGTTTAATGGTTAGCCCTGACCACTAGTGTTGGTCTCGGCCATAGCAGACAGATTCTTTGAACCTAATTTGGAAATATGTTGGATATAGAAGGATTAGAAAGGTACCCTTAACCTTACAGTCAGGTGACATACTCTGAAATGTGTAACAGCCTGAC